CCCCAAAACCCCAAAACCCCAAAACCCCAAAACCCCAAAACCCCGTACAACTAATTTTTTATTGAAATTGATTATATTCCAAAGCAATGATGTGTGTGCTCCTCGCAGTATCTCATTGATACCTTGGAAGTAGGAATTCCGTATCTCTTGAGCCTATACTGCAATCTCATCAAGCGTTCTTTCATGTAACCTCCTTTTAGTTCATAATCTGAGTTCCAGAAAATCATAGAGGAAGCACCACTATGAGGGTTAAGTTTGGTGAGCAAATCGAATTCATTACTCATCTGATTCCATGCCAAAATTTCAACACCAAGAACCTGTTTCTTAGACTCTTGAGACATAGAAGGGAATCTAACATAGCTATCTGGAGACATTGGGCTGAAGCAAATCTGTGAATTTTGGCCAAATGGTGTAAGATATCCGCAATTTATGTTCATTTCACTAGTGCTAAGAATGAACTTATTCTTAGGATATTTTGCAAATTCTCTATCAATTTTACCTCCCATTTCCCAGTACTGTAGGATATCATCTTCTTGATATTTAATACCATTGCTTTGGTACCAATAAATATTAGTCATTTGATGACCGGCAGAGTCTTGAGCTTTCTCTTTTCGTTTAGAGAAAAAGATCTGAGTTAGGTCATTTTGATGATAACCTCCTTGGTGTAAGAAATCTTGAATTTCTTGAGAAGAGTTCCAACAGTTGAATTCCGGTACTATTCCTCCATTATGACAATACTCGCATTCAAAGGAAGCATGAATATCTTTCATCATGTTTGTGTAAAAATCATATGAATCTTCTTCCAAAGGATTAATAATTCCGCCATGAGGACTACCATAAGCAAGCCCATTTACAACCGGTTTGCGGTAGCAAGAAATAATAGAACTCAACTTCGGATAATTTCCTAGAATATTTACATGGCCTGGTCCATTAATTCCTGGAATTACCTTGATTCCCCTAACTTTAGCGTATTTGACAATGTCTATAAGAGATTTTAGCATTAATTTATCAAAATTGGTTAAAGGAGCTGCTATACAGTCAAGAAATCTTTAATCAGATAATTAAAGCTAGACTTTCTCTCAAGATGCTCATTAATTCTTACCTTTAATCGTTTTTGGAGTGTAGATCTCTTCTGGCGAAAATGCAGTATAATTTGTCATGTCAGGATAAGACTCTAAATATAGTGGAAAGCTATCATCATCCATCAGATGCCAATGAAAGACATTAAGTCTACTAATTAGCATTGAATCTAGAATCTGCTTAATGGTTTCTGGGAAGAAATATTCTCTAGATGTATCAAGCATAACTCCTCGATATGGGTAAGATGGCTCGTCTTTGATTTCGATTGGTAAATACTCCATCATGTATTCACTTTCATTTTCTTTAGTCCTTGTCATAAGTTGACTAAAACTATCGAGACCTCTAACTACCCCTGGATAATGCTTTGCTTCAATTTTAGTATTCCCTTTCCCGTCAACATGTAAGGAATAAGCCTCATGTTGAGACTCAAATCCTTTTGGAAGGTAGGTTTTATCTTTTGAATCAAATTTGATCTCTACTTGTATATCCTTTCCTCCACTAGCCTCTGTGCATCTTTCAGAGTAGCCTTTGCCGAAGGAAATGTCTTTATAAACCCCAATAATTTCATCAAGCATATCATTATCATATTTAAATTTAACTTTTCACTCATGAAACTTAACATGTTTTTCCTGATTTTTTAAATAATGTGGTTGTGGAGTGACTATCGGTCCTTTAGGATTATCCGATCGGTACACATTCTCAGCTACATCCCATGAACTTATTTACTTACATGCTTGGTTGTTCAGGATCTCATACTTACCCCAGCACAGGCTTATAGCTAATAAAATCACAAGGGTTTGACCAAGATATGCCATTTTTAATATTATTCAAATTAATAAAAATCTCCCGGGGTTTTGGGGTTTTGGGGTTTTGGGGTTTTGGGG